GTGGGTATACTACAAAAGTGTTATCGTCATTGAGCCGAAAGCATACAAAATGCATTTGTTAAATAGATGTAATGAAAATTATATAGTTAAGAACACTCACCATTAGAATTACCTGGTACCTCGCGGATTTCCCCCGTTCTACTCGCTCACCAGTGTTACATTTTCAGGTTCGTCTCGCAGAATGTATCTTCCTATCTTCTTGGGTAAGGTTTAGGATTTTATAGTTTATGATCGCCTAAATTTACTAAATAATAGTAAATTATGTTTTATATGTATCCAATGACTTACATGGAAATGTACTCTCCCAACTACATGTATTAAATTCAAGTGCATTATTGAACCCAATTATACGCGGAACTAATCCCAGTTACAGAGGCAGCACTGTACACAAGAGAAGCACGTTGTTTTTGTCCGAATATACTAGTAGCTAGGCCTCTACGTAACAGTCATAAATTCGAAGCCGTGTAATGGTATTTGCTACAGTGCAGTGGGCAACTTGTAACACGAAAAATATTTTAAGGAACAACAGTGTTGCAGAATAGAACTTCACTATGTTGGCTGCAATCTGCTACGCGACCTTAATGATAACATAACACGCATTAACACGGAGTCTGTTCACTGTCTGAAAGTTATCTGACAGTGTCAAGGTGTTATTCTGCCAGACACCTAGTTAAGGGGATACCAGCATAAAAGGTGAACAGCAATGGCTACCTGGGACTCCATCGTAATCGGGGGAGGAATTGAGGGCTCCTCCACCGCCTGGCAACTAGCAAGAAACGGGCACAAGACTTTGCTTTTGGAGCAGGTGAGCGAATTGATAATAATCACAGTCCGAATAATTAAACTACAATATTCACTTTTCATGTTCAGTATGCTGCTCAGTAAATAACCTAAATGCAATGTAAAGGGGGAAAATCGGGCTAAAATAATCACAATTCAATAATTATGATTATTTTATTATTTTCTAAAATTGGGGGCGTCTCGATAGTCCGAAGGTTCATTGGTCCGAAGGTTCATTGGTCCGAAAAGTGGTAACATTTTCATCGATTTTTTAATCAAGGGTTCATTGGTCCGAAGGTTCTATAGTGAATATTCGGACCAATGAACCTTCGGACTATTGCTACGGCCCCTCTAAAATTAATTGAAATGGAATTAATTTTAAATGGTCAATATTCACATGAATATATTTAATAATGTTATTGGCTAGTTAAAATTTGGATCAATATATTTTTTTAAAAAATTAACACATTTTCAAGAAGATATTTAATAATGTTATGAGTTGGTTAAAATTTGGATCAATAAATTGTACTTATACATGTATGTCTTAATTTTAACTTAATGTATCATACATCAGAAACTATAAATCAGTAATTATAGTGCTGAGTTTTGAAACTTCCAGGTAACTCTAGGTATATAGTTTATACTAGTTTATCTAAAAGACCCAAGTCCCCCACAGGCAGTTGCATATATATATTCTAAAATTGTACCCTCTACCAGGGTAGCAGATTATATATGGAAAAATGAAAAAAGTCACCCTCTGACTTTTGGCCAGATGGAAGCAATAAATCTTCACCTGCGCATATGGCATTGTACCTGCTCTGTAAGGAGCTACTACAGGAGATACCTCATATCATATTAACTTCAGTCTGAAGTAACAAGCTATTCATAAGGGGCTATTTTTATCTGTTACAGAAGAGAAAGTGATGAAAGGGATAATAACTCTTCGTATGAGATCTATATTTCACAACAAAAACATTGTGAATAACTCATAGAAATATATTTTATTCTGTTTTACCACAAAAACGGCAGTTATAGCTATTATTCTGATATCTGAGCTTGTCTTTAGACCACGTGACCTCCATTGATGGATATACTCTGTTAAAATCTCTTAACAGATTTTAACAAAAAACCAAACTTTTTAGAAAAAACCAGGGACCAACTTTGAATGTAAAAATGAGTTATTATCCCTTTAAGCTCAGAGGAATTTTAACTGTCATGATTACTGTCAAGGGGACTTTGATTGGGATTCTTTATTGATACACCTTCACAAATAAGGTACAATCAAAGACAGTACAACTAACTATAACAGAGTACAAACAAGTAAATGAATAAATATACATGATTTTAATGTTTACATAAAGGCTATATAGATAAATACGTGTTAAAAAATAATAATAAATAAATAAATAATAAAAAATAAAAATTGGATATCATACCGGAAAAGGAATGTTTACTGACCTTTACTGATCTCGACCTTTACGTACAAAGTACAATCAAAGAAGTTAAACAGACAACACCAGCTACAGATACGTAAATCTGCAGGACGTGGACACACATTTAGGTCTGTTAAGTGGCAGTGCCTGCGCAGTTAAGCAAACAATTACCAGACATGTAATCAGCCTTGAGATTTCATCACAGGGTGCCAGAGAGCCACCCTGAGCTTCAGAGATAACTTGACACGATGAAGATAGGCTAATAGTGAAGAGGGTAGTGTCAAGTTATCTCTGAAGCTCAGGGTGCAGAGAGCCAAATGACTGTCTATTTATCTGGAGACATATCTGTGAATATCTGTGAAAAATCAATCTGTCACCCTGGGAGAGGGTACTAAAATTGTGCTTAATCTGAAACTTACAAAAGTATAGACTGATAATTTGGCTATTAGATTTTGGTTGACCAGACTGGCCCTTTGAAATTGCCAGAGATAAAAAATCTTTAGCACAAAAATGCTGTTTTCAGGATGAAAGTTATTGTGTGAACAGGATCGATCTATCTCAGCGAGGATTCTAGCTAAGGCGCAGTCAATGTAATCATCTAAATTATCCAGCATGCCCCCTTAATTGCAAAGCAACATGAACAACATCATGGATCAAGCAAAGTTTTCCTTACTTTCCCAAGTGCTTTTAAGTCTTGAGGGGATGTGCAAGACAGTTAATGTGATTACACTGACTGCACCTTGGTGAGAATTCCTGCTGAGGTACAGTAGATTGGTCCTGCTAAGATAACTTCTATTCTGAACACAGCACAACATTTAGAGTACATTGATATCATTAACTCATGTATGTTCCATCCATGCATAAATTTAATTTCTAGTAACTTTAATTTTTTCGTTTTTGAATCTCCAGCTCTTTTAGGTCATATTACATATACATACATTTTTGTAACATTAACTACTTCAGTATAATGCTACGTATGTAACTATAATAGATATCAAAAAAGTAAATTTATACATATAAATGCTATATAGTAAAATTATGAGTACTATTAAGAAATGTTTTGAAATGTTTCATTTAATATAAGTTATGTGAACAAATTAAAAAGATGTCTATTTTTACTGACATGGATTGTTATCCTGTAACATTTGATTTCAGTTTCCATTGCCACATACCAGAGGGAGTTCTCATGGAGCCTCACGTATAATTAGGCATGGTTATGCCGAACCTTTTTATGTTGAAATGATGATGGATGCCTATAAATTATGGAGGGAAATAGAGAGAGAATCTGGGATTGCCTTATACAGGTTCGTTTTTTTTTTTTTTTTTTTTTTTTTTTTNAGGCTTGATGCTCATGCTAGCTGTACAAGACCTCAGTGATTAGTTCAGTGTCACCAGGAAAAGGAATTGTATCTTTTTAGGCAATTCTATAACAGGTTTTATGGCTCTAGAATATTTTAATGACCTTTTAATGGACTTTTATAATTAATGAAATCACAGCCTTTTAATTTTACAAACTAGTAATTTAAAGCAAATATTATATATATTGCCATTCTTCCTCTTCAATTTAACATTTATTTTAATATTTATTGTAAAGTCTATTAAGCAAAATTGGATTTTAGACTCTAAACAAATATTATAATTATTTCAAGCACATATTCATTCTGACATGAAAGATTCCCATGGTTAGATACACAGGTCTTCACTTACAATTGCAGAAAAGTAGGAATATTGACACTGGAATGTCATCCATATGAAGGAATTAAAGTGATGGAGTCTAATCTTGCCAAGTTTGGAGTGTACTATAAACGCCTGGGGCCTAGAGATTTAAAGAAGCAATTCCCAATGCTGACATACCCAAACCAGTACCATGCCACTTTGGAAGATGATGGTGGTATTTTAAGAGCTGATCAAGCTCTTAAAACTATTCAGGTATATGTTTTTTTTTTAGACTGATGGAATTTGTAACAAATTTTACAGAATGAAATTGCAATCCATTGGAGGACTGATGTATAGAAATGTTCTTGTTTGTCTTAACAGATTTCACCATCCATCAGATCATCGATTCATTCATCAGGTCTGCCAGTCATACATGTAGCTTGGTACCATGAAGCAGAGGCTGGAAATTGCATGTGTCTTGTTTTAAATCAAAACTAATTCCAGTCTAGACTTGTGAGGATTCTTTTGTCTATGGCTACTTATATTAATCTGATCTTACCATCCAATATTTCATCTAAAATATAAGTAGCTATAGACAAAAGAATCCTCACAATAACATAGCTAATGAAACTGTTCTACATAATTCCAGTCTACTTTTTCTTATCCAGAGCTTATTTTCAAGTGCTGGTGGTACAATAGAGGATGGAGAAAAAGTAGTAAACATTACACCAGGGCATTTGATATCTGTTCATACCAAACAAGATACTTATAAAACAAAGAATCTTGTAGTTGCTGCAGGACCATGGACCAATAAACTGTTGGAACCTTTGAACTTAAAATTACCCCTTCAGGTGAGATTTTTCCCCAAGATCTTTATTTTTTACACAAAAGTGTGGTTTTTAAAGTTATGTTTGCATCACATACTACATGATGTGAAAAATAATTTTAGAGAGGTATTGAAATTGAATGTAATTGTATTTGCTTAATTTGCTTCAATAACTTAATTTTATTGTTTATACTGTAGATGGTATGGAAGGTTCATAGTTTTTGCACCTTTACAGTTTGCTATAAAAAGTGTACAAGAGTTAAATACATTTCTCTATTCATTTGCAACTTTAAGTCTAAAAAGTTTTCAAAATTTTCCATATCTATGTTAAGTAGATAATGGAGAATGTTTTTTTTTTACAAACTGTTTGTTAATAATAGTTGAAATTGAGGAAAAAATATTTATTTCAATATTTCAAAACTATTTACCCACAGCCTTTGGCAATAAATGTCCTCTACTGGAAGGAGAAAGAGCAAGGTGAATACAGCCCAGGTAGAATGCCATGTTTTATACATTCAAGTAGAGACAGGCTACAAGAATTCTATGGTCTTCCATGTGAGGAGTACCCTGGGTTGATGAAGGTAGATGCCCACAGTACTTGGTTGATATTTCTGCAAGAATAGAGATGAGCAATATATAAATGCTACAACATTAATCAGTAGCCCAAATTCATAAAATTGCTGTAAAGCTAGTGGTGTGTGTATAGATATTAAATTTTGCATGTTTTTGTGGTGTTTGTATATATACTGGTATATAACTGATGTGTAAGCTTTTATATATGGTGGTAACATGTCAAGTTCTTGTAACATGGGTGGTGATAAGAAATGAATATGTTTACATCTAGAAAAATTATATGTATATGTATGCAATGTAGATTTAAAAATGTGATGTAATTTTTAAGTAACCTTTTTGAAAATTTTATTGATTCCATTTACTAGTACCTGTACATTGGTTTTATTAAATATGCTCGAACAGCAAAACAACAGTTAGGGCATATTTAGATTCACACATTGTACAAGCTGGATCAGTACAACTCTGCAAGGGATTCTCGCTAATGTGTAACCACTGGAATCAGCTTAATCAGCACACAATAGCTAATTCCCCCTAGCTGTTAGAGAAACCATGTCAGACAATTAAGCTGATTCCACTGATTGCCTTTTAGCAAGAATCCAGAGAAGAGTCCCAATCTGTCTGAAACTACCCTTTCTAAATTGTGTATTTTTTCTTTATTTGCCAGACAACGTTGGACTGACCCACTTAGTACAATGTGTGAATATGAATGCAGTCTTAGACTGCATTCCCATAGATTTAGATCGATCCATCTAGATCTACCTAACTCCCTGGGGGTTCACGCTAAATTGATGTCAGCTGAGCATGCACTGTAGTTAATTACCCCCTTACAGCTTTTAGTAGGTGGGACTGACGCTTAAGCCGGCTAAGCTGACAGTAATCTAGTGAGACTCCCCACAGGGATAGATCGATCTAAAATCTGCGGGTATGGGGTCTTAGACTTGTCATATATGAAAACTTCATGTGGGACCTTTCAGAAATAAGTATATGACTATAGTTCTAAATGTAATAAAATTATTTGAACACAAAATGAAAATCATTTTACAGGTTGATCTCCACACTGGAAGGGCTGCAGATCCTGATGCTAGAGATGCCAATAATCAGGATCAGTGGGATGTCAAGTTGGTTGCTGAGTTTCTGCAGAAACACTTACCAGGCCTTGAGGACAAGCCCAGTGTTATGGAGAGATGCATGTACACTGTGAGTTTTCTCTGGCATTAATGATTATTAATTGTATTCTAGCTCTAGGATGCCATGTTCACATATCAGACTCTTCCTCATATTTAAGAGAATGTCAGAATATGATGTTTTGCAGGCTTTCATATATTTTGTCTTATATATGATTTGTACTACGTATCTCTTTACCAGGTTATTTCCCTACTGGTTGTAATGCATAATACCATAAACTTCAATTCCCCAAGCACTTTACACGACTTTGTTGACATTTGTGTGGAATGGGAGTGTTGGAGAATTTTATTATTATTTTAAATTGCTATATATTTATCAATTAGCATCTTTAAATTGTGGCAGTGCACTGTTAGAGCTATTTTCTCTCTCTCTCTCTCTCTCTCTCTCTCTCTCTCTCTCTATATATATATATATATATATATATATATACTCTAATAGGATATCATCAATTTCTCTCCAGGTAACTCCTGATCATAATTTCATTCTTGATCGACACCCCAAGTATGAGAATATAGTCATAGGAGCAGGTTTCTCTGGTAAGAAAACCTAGTGATACCAAGTGAATTTTTGTACATATATATATAAGCACTACTACAATCTTTTCCTACATATGAATTACCATGACAACTCTTGTTGCTGTATTTTAATCCAAAACTACATGTCATCATCAGAATATTAAATGCAATAACTTTCATAATCTCAATCCAAATTGTATTTCTTTTCCAGGGACAGGGTTCAAACTTGGCCCAGTTGTTGGTAAAGTGCTGGCAGAACTGGTGATGCAGAAAGCGCCATCACATAACCTCTATCCTTTCAAAATAGATAGGTTTTCTAAATCTAAGCTGTAGTAAAATGCAATTGGCAGAAAACAGGTTCCATATTGTTCAAACAGAAAAATTAGTGGAAAATAAGACTATTTTATCTAGTTACTTATGATGTAACTTGTCCTTTCTTTTAAATAATGCTGGACTATAGTTATTAGCAAATATATCTGCAAGTTACATATTTTTATAAACTAGGAATTCTAGGTTATTAACACTAATTGTACCAACTGAAGTGTTACATTGGCTCAGCCACATGGTTCAGCTCTGACAAAGAAGTAGATAATATCCACTTCTATGGTTCTACAAGTTTTATTAAGGCCAGTAAAAGGGTAAACTACGCTTAAAATCATGTTTTTGACTTTTTTGTGTGTTCATATTAATCAAAAAAGTATCTAACGTTGGATGTAATAATTTTTTTGAATTTGCACCGCAAAATGAGTCTTTTGAGGAGTTTTTCAACAGACACGTGTCCCAGTCAGGCTGACAACTAAGCTACACCTCTGTAGCTAAGGGTCGTTGCCATGAGGGGGCGGAGCATAGAAAATGAGTCGTAAGCCAATTACGTGTGCGGTAATAGGTCATAAGTCTTACATTAGCTAAGCAGTGAAGAAGTCGAGTACACTATGGGGAAGGGAAAAGTTCGTGTTACAAGTCCATTTCCAGAGGAAAGAAAGAAAATTTTGAAAGAGAGTATGCGTGGCGGTTGGGGAAAACCGGTATTTGTTCATTCGGATGGTATGTAGTACCTCAACACATCAGAGGTATTCATAAAATAATAACTTCATGTTGGCCTAAAGTACAATGAATGATCTGGTGTTAAACGCAATCCACTGTAAAATGCCAACGCACCTTTTACATGCTTCAAAAGATATGAATTGATACTTTTTACAATCAACACGTTCGTGGTTTCAAAACTCGCCCACACTCTATCATTTTATTCAAAAGCCTTCTCTCAGCCACTTTTACCGCTGATTCTTGTGCAGCTGAGCATCTCCCCTTTATCTTAGCTGGCATTTCGAGAGATACCACTCTGAAGTAATCACTGGATTTTTCTGTTGATCTGACAATTACCAAGTGCCGTGCAAAATAATCCTGCAACGTTACCTGTCAAAAACTCGTATTAACACAAGTGACAGACACTCGTATTAACACAAGTGGACTACAGCCTGATGTCAGGGGTTTTAGAGGAAATTGTTTGCTTGAAAGTTATCGTCTTTTGAAGTGATTAACCCATTGAAATATGGGGTAATTTAACGTAAAAGACGATAAAATCAAAAGTAAATAGTTTAAGACAATTCCCTGGTATCCGATTGATGTGCTTTCACCCAGCTTTACGAGGCCGTTTGAATCACTTGAATAGCTGTCTTGGTTATAGAAAATATCCCAAATCCGAAAACAGCATTTTTTGCCCCAAAGTGGCGCTATAGTGTCATCCGTTGGCCTTTTGGGAAGTATGTTTTAATTTTTTTATAAAAAATTATAAGCCCAGGGCATTGTTTCTATGCCTTTGGTCGTTTTACTATTAGTGGCCTTAAGATACTAAGGCTAACAAATATAGTTCAATATTTCAGAATAAGGGCCTTTAAAAAAACAGGATATTGTCAAAATAAGTTGATGGATGATATATTGTGAAATGGTTTTCACTGACATATCCCTATAGCTATCACCTGTAAGATGGCTATTTGCTGAATTACTAATTTAGCAGAAAAAAAGAAAGAAAAACACAACTTTGAACCAAGTTGCCCCATTGAAATCATAAAAACAACAGCCAGTGTAATGTTTCACCATCTTTTATTGTTTTTCTGTAGAAATTTGCAGGCAGATGTTTAAATATATTCCCATAGGGAACTAATTCCGTTCACTTACATTTGATTGTGTTATGCACAACCTCATATGAGACAGTGTTCTACTACTATGATCATTATGAAATAAAATGATTGGGAGATTCATCTCGTACAAACCTAACTTTGGTATACAAATACTAAACTTAAAATCATTATTATTATGATGATGAAAAATCTACAAAGACTATATTATACAACAAGGCTATATTACAGAATTACATGTGACTAGGTTTTGGTGATGAAGGATGAAATACTGCATTTTAAAACTTTCAATATATTTCTGAGATTCAGTTATTTAAAATGTACACCATTCTTTAAAACTGAGGCAATTTAAACAAACTACAGTACATTCAAAGTGAGTTAAAAAGGAGGTTCCCTATCATTACCCTTTTTCTAATAATACTGGCAAGAGAGAGTATAGTTCACAGGCTTTTTACCCCCAGTGTTACAACTAAACATTTTAAATACAACAAACTGTGGGTGAGACCATGCTAGAAAAATATAATTTACACATATTATCATCATCTCTATGACTTGCATAAAAGCACAAAAAAGGAAAATGTAAATGCAATGTCATAACATATAAAGAAAAAAATCTAGACTCATCTTTATGAGAATTCAAATTAGTTTTAAACTGGGTTCCCATACATAGATCGATCCATCCGGATTGATCTAACTCCTTGGGGAGTCTCACTAAATTGTTATTAACTAACCAGCTTAAATGTTTGTCATGCCTACCAAATCAGCCAGGGGGTAAAGATACTTACCCCTCAACAGTTTTATTAGGCGTGACAGACATTTAAGCAGGCCAAGTTGACAGCAATTTAGTGAGACTCCCCAGGGAGATAGATCGATCCAAATATCTGTGGGAATGGTCCCTTAGACCCTGTAAAATATATTAATAGTTATGCAGTATTTGGTGACTGTTGTTTGTGAATCCTGTTACACATCTTGCTTTTGAAGCTATGGTAGCAGTTCAAATACATTAACAGCCCATGCCTGACAGCAGTGGAACATTATTGTTACAGTGCTGAATGAGTATTATTGGCTATATGGAGGTAGTGCTTTTATTAAATATTGGAAGTTCTTCATACTAAATTCAAAGTTAAACTATAATAAAACAATGGCTTTGCACACCTTTTATAAAAAAAAAAGAGATCATATCGCAGACAATCTTTTGTATAACAATTGATGAGTTAATAATTATATGCAAGCACTGTGATACAAAATCTTTGTATCATATTCTGATAGGTCTACATGTGCTGTGACCAATTTCTCAACAAAAGTTTTCTGAACAATTTATAAACTAATCCACTTCAATGACACACTAAAATTTATATCAGACACTGCCTTGCCATAGGGACTATCATTACTTGGCAATTGAATGAACTTTTCTTGTCCAACAGATTCACCCAAACATACCAACAGAATCACAACAAACACACATCCTATTATTTCTTATCAGAAGATGCTGCCTGATGTCAATGAATGCATGGAAATATTCATAATGAGAGATCTAGATTTAGGACGCAGCAGTGATGACTGGCGTTGGTGCATCACCTGTTCCATGTATTCCCACTGGCAAAGACTAGACTCCATCTGTTATATTACTTGTTAACCCGAGCTGGGCAAATCAGACATTGAGATTTGTGTGAAAAAAACCCTGAGTTTCCCTTTTATATTTGATATTTTGCTCAGTATCCAGCAGGGTTTCCGCCTTTTCTGAAGTCACAATTTGCATAGACTTTCCCATCTTTCCGCTGGATGCCTTCTACAACTGAGAAACGACCATTTGGGTTGGATAATGTCATGTTATGTCCTCTTTCCACCAAAGAGGCAAGAATTGTCTGCAAAATGAAAGCATAATACATGGTCATATTATTTTAAAAATAGACCCTAATGTAAAATAATCTGTTCTCACAAATAGAAAAATTGTAAATGGTTCTTCTGGTAGATATTGAACAGATTTTTGAATGAAAGACATTTACATCTAAACCAATGAATTAAACAATTAAGCAAATCATTAGAAAAAAATAAATTAAAAAAAAATAAAAAAAGATTGTCAGGGTAACACTTTAAATTTTGTGTAGTTTGTTGTTTATGATATGAATTGATCATTTTAATCAAAAGTAAGATGGTATAATTGCACTTACAGATGGCATATTTTTCTCATAAAACACAGTTGTTGGTATCAGCTGATCATGTAATCTGGGGTAATCTACTGCTTGTTTAATATCCTCGTCAAACCAAACACAGCGCATTATTATCTAGAAAAAAAATAGAATTCATTAAAGTGACTGGCAAATGCCATTGTGCCAAACTTCATCAAAATAATTCAATGCAGTAGGTTTGTTTTATATCATAATGAGATAAGCTCTCTTTCTCTTTCCTGGTTAGCTTAATATTTCAGTTGTCACTCAAAAACAAACTCTTTTTACAATCTAATTGACAAAGATTTTTTCATCCTCTGCTTTTAATGAATTTTCTCTGTTCTCAAATTAAAGCAAGCAAATCAGAAGTCATTTTACAGAGATTTCCCTGTGACAAAATGTACATAAAAATACCTCTGCCAGAGTCGAAGTTATTTTAGACCCGCCTGCTGCCCCAAGTACAAGTTGGACGTCGCCATGTTTATCAACGAGTATTGCCGGTGCCATAGACGACATGGGACGCTTCTGTGGATGGATAAAGTTTGCAGCCGATGGTGGCAGGCCAAATGCGTTTGGGGTTGATGGCAGTGAAAAATCATTCATCTCGTCGTTATATACAATTCCTGTAATGTTACCTCGTACCAAAGACCCCAAGCTGTAAGTAAAACCGCAAGGAATTTAACCATGAAAGTATAGTTGGATAAAAATATGGGGATCGGGACTTTTAAAAAGTAAAATCAGGGATGAACCTATTTAGATATACACAGTTTTGGAATATAATGAGCTAACAAACATTTATATCTGCTTTTAATTTGTTCAAAATACAAACTTACACATATCAATTGTGGAAACAAATACTTAATGTCAAATTATATATAACTACAAAGCTCATTTCTCAAAGAAAAGGATTGGGAATGTCAAAAAAATCTTTGTTGTAAATCGAAAGAGTAACTGGCAGCATACGTACTAAAAATTGATGGTACTCGTTACAGAGACCGCGTCCCCTTGGGAGTCCAGAATGGACACGTGCGAAGTGCCTCCTTTTGGGTCTGTCTCCGAGAACACCGCTCCGTAGTAGTCCACCACCTGCGTCGTGTCATCATTGATTTTGGCACGTGTCACAGCAGCATGATTCTTTGACGACAAGAGATCCACAATCTGGAATATGATCATAGTGAGCGCTAAAAGAAAACCTATTTATTTTGTAAAACATCATTATCAGGGAATGAGTTTCGAACAATGATATGCTAAATTTTTTCACGCCACAATGCAGAACTTCAGGCATTTAGTTATCTGGAATAAATCGCGTTAGAACATGTTTTTGGCCGATCTGATGGCACATAACAGCGAGTCTGACAGTCAATGTTATACAGAAGAGGTTGTCGGACTAAACAGACTCGACTTTGTGTGTGTGTGTGTGTGAGTGTGACTGCAAACTGTGTAAGGAGAAGCAGTAAATTCGGTGTTTTTTTAACGTAATGAGGGTAATGCCCACCTGCTTAAGTTTTTGGGCGGCATCGTCCTCCAGTCCGGCTTCCCGTGCCTCATCACCAAGCTCGGTCCTCTTGGCGTAGGCAAATTTAAAGGCTTCTACCATGCGGTGATATGTCAGACCTGCCGCCTCAGGGGTTGCGATATCTGCCTTCGACATATTGTATTCTATGAACAAAAAAAATCTTCATTAGTAGTTATATTCGACGTTGTTTATAAATATTAACACCAAACAAAGAAAAGACATTGACTTTAAAATATTTCAGTCAAACATAATATAGGCCTATAATTTGCACATGATTACAGTGACGTCTGAAATTTATCTTTTTCTTTTTTAATATTGGCTACCGTGAAAGAATTTCAGATATATGGAATAGTGATTTGTAAAAAAAAAAAACATAAAATAATTGGAATGTTAGTGTTAGTAATCTCTACAAATGGTCTTCGACAAGAAGAGTTTGACTCTTGCTGTAAAGGTGGCTACCTTGTAGAATGTTAATAATATAACTGAGCACGGCGCCCGATGCTGGAGGACGGTTAGTGTACACTGTCATTCCATTCCTCAGAGTGAGATTCAATGGTGGCTTGATTAATGCATCGTAGTGCTCCAAGTCCCGCTCAGTTATGATGCTTCCTAAAAAGTTAATAGGAGAGTATGGATAAGTCGTTTGATTCCGTTGATGTACATAAAATTGAATAAAAAAGACGACCTTTTCACCGCTAACATTTTAAATCTTTCATACGGAGTTTACGTCCATTTCTATTCCAAGATTCAATTTCGAAAAATTTCTATTCAAGTCCTGCGACTAAATTCGGTTTTTGTGATGACGGCGTAATTATACTGAGACGGACCCCAAAAAATAACAAAGACAAATGAGGAGGGCCTGAATGCAAACGTAATGCGTGGCATGTGCCACAATGCGACATCCAAACAGCAAAATATTTCACCTGCATCTTTGAGTTCTGCTACGATGCTGCGTGCCAGACTGTGGTTGCCGTACATGGCGTCTACTCCGTCGTCTGCTATTGTTTGGAGCGTATCTGCCAGTTTATGGTTATACACGAGATCGCCCTCTTGGAGTAGTTCACCAGTTTTCTCATCGATGAACATTTCACTGCAGTGAAAATCGAGCCATGTCATTGACAAAATTAAGTTTTTTTAAATTATTAAAATTAATCTCAGTGCTATTTCATTGCTTCACTATTCAGTTTACTCGTCAATCTGACTTGAACAAAATGTGATACTAATAGTTTATTCACACGTTTTTTTTAAATTTCAGAGCAATGTTTTGTGTCTGTTTTCTAACCTGAGGGATGGATCCTCCCTTATATCATGCTCTAACAGTTTCAAAGCTGTGGCTAGAGCGTTGTGTACTTTGGCGCCATTTCTACAAAACTGAATAGCAGGCTTAAACAGCTCGCTCCAAGGCAGCCGCCCCAACTGCTGATGTGCCTCCCAGTACCCCTTGATCTCCCCGGGAACCGCTATAGAAAGACCACCTAAAACAGGATACAAAGAAATAATTATAAGAAAAACATTTCTTAAAATGCGTTTTTTAATGTAACCTTCAAGTACTACAAGCATCACATTGTAGGCCTACTAGTAACCACTTCTCTACAGATACAATTTTACTTGTGAGAGAGAGAGTGAGAGAGAGAGAACATAGACGCTACCTCTCAATGATGCTTCTTTATTGTGATTGTACATGAACTTGGAAGCCGCTATGGGGGCTTTTTCTCGGGCGTCTATCGTCATGACTTTCCTCCTCCGCCTACAAATATGCGACCATTGAGTAAATTGAGCAAAAAGATCATTTCACCTCTACAATGTACTCTACAATGCAAACCTTCTATTCGAATTTTCTAATAAAGCAATTGTTGTTTTAAAACGTTAAAACGTCTGTAAGTAAAGCTCCATTTAAAAGAAGTCTTTGAATTACACTTACCTATCGTAATATACCATGAAAAATCCACCTCCCAAACCCATACTATGAATATTATGCACCCCGACACACAACAAAGTAGCTATCACTCCATCTATTGCCGTGCCTCCTCTTTTAAGAAATTGTCTGAAAGTGGAGTTAAAAAGGATTAAGACACACTTTCTATTGTTTAACTTTCATATACTTTTAATAGTCTGTTATCAATATGATGAAAAATGCATTTGGGTTTTGGAATCTAAGAAACAATTTAATTGAGATTCTCATATAATATTAATAGTATATCAGTATATATACTCAAATGTATTTTAATCGTATTACAAAATACCCCGCATAAAAATCACGGTAGATAATGTTGAAATGTGAAGGATACGTGTTGTGATAAACGTGACTACAAAATTGGTGAAAGACTCCCTATGTATTCTCTATAACGTTTACTCACTTTCCAACAACAGAGCATTCTTCGACATCTGATGCAACAGCGGCACTGTCGTATTTTCCTAGGATTGAATCTGACGGTGGCACGAACAGTTTATCTGATGTTTTGGGGTTTTTAGCCAATCTTTCATGAAACAACGCAATGACTACTGCCAATGTTAACGCTATAGCAACAATTAGAAATAAGCACGTCAGTAGGATGCATCGACGTTGTAATATGGACCTGTAAAATAGAGTTAAAATTCATAAATATTTCATATAGTATTACATCCACATCTGATTAAAGATCCATTTTTACAAAAAAAATTAATTAAAATAATTTGCACTAGAGGGACATTGTACAAGTATAAATGCATCGTCTATATCTTTAAACATTTAATGACTCTTACTTAATCGTGCATTTAAATTTGAATGCACCAAACATACTTTCGGAAAGTTGACATTACTCACTTCTTTTCATATGTCATCATTTAAAGTTTAAGTTTCAATATTTCCATATACCAGTCAGAAGACAGTGAAATACAATACGAATACGAAGAGATGTGTCGAAATTTTGCCTTACATTCCTCACTGCTCTGGTGTCATATTCATGGTATACGTGTGATTTCTTACGTATTAGTATAATCTGAGAACAGTTAAACGGTGTCTGGTATTTCGGAGACATAGCTTAAAGATGAGCTAGCCAAAATTTGAACGCCACACTGATCAATTAATCACCATCACGTGAATTTTTCTTTGATAACAAAGACTTACAATTAAAAACTCTCGACGCTACCTTCCTTTCACAAATTATATATTTGGTTTAGATGGTATCGGATTGACTCACTACAAAAAAGTTTGGAAACGGTTCAGCGACTGCTTATTATCCATACTATAATTAACCCATTCTTAAAAGACAGCGCTTCTTTATATTTGTGAGCATCATCGTCACTACATGAAAAAATGATGTGGATAAAATATTTCGTTTGGACTCAAGTTGTGTCTCCGGACTACGAAAATTCTAATTTTGAAATTCAACGTATGGTTCAAGACAATTTCCCAAGGCAAAAGAAATAATTCCTTTTAAAAAGGTATTTTGAGTGAACACTTTTGTTGGAAAAATAGATTAAACACGGTGGCAATTTAACTGGGAGCTTTTGAGTTTTAAACGTCTTAAGTTCAAGAGGTTTTTTACACTCTAGAGAAACTGTGGGAGGAAATCTAAACGAGTACATTTATTTTTGCGTTTAGCTTGAGCATCTGTTTGATTTTAGTGTAAACAGTTTTTACACCAAAGTCAGATAATTTTAATGTTTTGCAAACAAAAGAGAAAATACATTTAGCGTACTTTGAAATTTGAAGGAGCTACCACATTTACAGCTCGATATTCATTGGAGGAGGTTACAGAGAGACCTCAAGTGCTTTTTACAGACATTCATAGAAGCACAGCGAGGTTTCTCTTTAACTGCTTTCAGGTCAGAAAGAAGCTTCTATATATAATTAATGTTTGGTAACCGTTGACTTTGTAAGCCCATAGGGCTGGGCCGTTACTTATATATTCACATTATTGTATTATATTTGTATATATTCGGCATTGTCACGAAAATAAATCAATTTAACTAACATTGGAAAAGCGATGCAATACTTTTATAGTTGTATAAAGACTACACCACCTAACAAGAATTTCGTATTTTTCTCATAACAACACGGCATTCAAGATTTAACGCCCTTACTGTACACTTAGTTAATATTAAATAGCATATCCCTTAAAATGTCAGTGTTTGGTCCCACTGTTGTGAGAAGTGACTCGGCAGTGGGACTGAACATGGCACAATATTTATATCTGTGTAACTTATTTACTTATCTGTCTTATGTAATTGTCATTAATCGTAATTATCAATGTCATCAAACAGCCATGTAAACAGCTATGTAACGGTGGTTTTAAGTTCTTTAAAAACATATTCTTTTTGTGTAACATATTTACAGTATGTTTATGGTAAATTTATAATCACACCAAGGTTTATCTCATTGCTTAGATAGAATATTTTATGAGTAATTTTACTAGTACTTATCTTCATTATATAAAGATGGTAATGCACTAACTGTATTGTATCGTCATTTGTATATCATATTGTACAAGGTCATGACAATCTATGTACCAGTACAGAAATAAATTGAATTGAATTGAATTAAAAATGCAATTCATAGTAAATGTAGTTTGGGGAGAGGAAGCTACTGTACTGAGGTCGTCATGATCTCAAGGCGATATTGTTTGAGAGTAGAAATGATTCGAAGAAAATATTTTCTCTTCTTTTCACCTTGCACACAATTTTCAATACCCCACTGAAAAAAAAAACTAAAATAAAAAATAATACGCAAGCATTTTTCACAGACGATAGGCTGCCCTACCCAAAACATGCACTCCCTAAACCAGTAGAAAATACAAATTTATACAGACTTCAGGAAATAGATAGGATCTTATATACTTCCTTGGTAGAATTGATACTCGAAAGGGTGGAAGGATGTACGGTAAACCCGAAGACATACATCATACGCTGAAGAATAGAAATGTCTGAACCACGTCCTTTTCCCAAAACGTCGGTAGTTAGTCTTTTAAGTTAAAACTGTGAGCCCGACATCTGGATTGCAATTTGACACATAACTGATCTATTGCATTAAAAACACGAAGTAACTTTCCCTGATTGCATTATTCCTAGGCCCTCTGTACAATTTTCGATAAAGACCTCAGCTTACATAAAACTTGACGTTTTGGACCTATATATAAGACCAACTCTTCATTTAAGTTGTGGCCTAAGGTCCTGATCCTTCATCTTACCTTGCGTCCCACTTTCTCCAATACAGACGCTGGGTGTCTGGCATGGTCGTCTCTTCGTAACCTGTCTGTTCGTCCTCCAGATTGTCCACTAAAACTTCCACGTCCTCTGGTGCTGGGCGTTCGCCCTGTGCCCCTTGCGAAATTCGCCTGGAAGTTGAATAAGAAGTACTAACTTGACCTTGCTAAATAAGACCATATATTAGAAGTAATTGCAGATTTGCGGACACCGACCTTTTTAATGGATACTACAATTATGAGCTCGTATAACATCAGGGTTATCGGCTAATGCACCAATTTTCGGTCCTTGTCCTCGTAACACTATACCTTGCCAGTAGGGATATTCCTTACCAAGATTCCAAACTTTTTGTTACAAATTTTGCACAGTGTGGCTAAACCGCTGCAGAGAGGATCACTTCAAGAGACAAAACTATAGTGCAAACCGCAACGAGTATCAATTCGACCCTGGCTATCACAGAAAACGATCGAGCAGCACTCAGCTTTTTACAGGAGTGATACAAACAAAAAGGTTCAACACTTATATTAGGAAAATTTTAGCTCTAACCAATCGGAGGAGAGTTCATGGGTCGATCGCTTACAGGGGATGTCATCGTAAGAACGCGAACAAAAAGCAGGAAAAGGTTCTCTCTTCCAGATGTTCTTCATGCTGGGCCCAGAGGCACAAATAATAAACAGGATAACCAACAATGCAACTCATCCTGTCGTAGGCACTTTACTTTCAGTGTGATAATGCCCTTGAAAACAGTTTCCGTTGTGGAGATGTGTTAGTGATTTGGGCAAGCACCTGATATGGTAGTGATAGGAAATGTATATCGTCTTAGGGGTCCGATTTTTATCTCATTTAGAGTAAATCAATTATGCTATATTTTGTGTTTGAAGTAATTAAAAATCAGTAGCACTGATTCGGGACACTTTGTAAACCAATCATTTCGAGCGTGTATAGACTGTATAGTAAATTTCATAACGAATACTAATTTATAGGGTTTTGATTTCCCTTTTTAATTCCAGTATCATAATGGCTCTACATCAAGGGCAAATTTTGTATGGAATGGAGGACAAAAACAAAATAAAGTCAATAATATTTGTATCATCCTTTTGTTTTAAGTAAAATTTTACGAGGGTTGTTTTCTAACAGTAGAATCAGGCCCGTAGCCAGCAATTTCAGAGGGGGGGGGGGTCGTTTTCTGAAAAAGTGGACCTTTTACCATAAAATCCTCAAGTACATAGATCAAATTTTACCCAGAGTGGACCTTTTTCCCAGCCAAAAGGGTGGTTCTTTCGAACCCTCCGATCCTCCCTGGTCACGGCCTGAGAATATTGGAGTATTTAATATCACAGGGATTGGATTGAGTGAAGTGAAGTCAACCTTGATCAGCATTAAGCATTAAGTGATACATATCGAAAACTAAATCAAAATCTTGTTTCCTTCCCATGCCTTTTCATTTTAATATATTTTCAGTCGGGATCATAGCATCAGCAATATGATAGGTAAATTGCTGATATTAAACCATACAATTCATTTGCAACAAAGCGTTCGGCTGCATATCTAAAATCGTTCGAACACAATGGAATTATCGGTACATTCTATGCTTGATATTAATAAACAAAGAAAAGAATTTGGCCATTCAAAAATATATAACGGACTTTTCCAAATCAAATATTTATAATAAATACAACCAAATATTCTATTACATAAGCGAGGGCTGTTAAACTCCCGTCAACAATTTTCAAATAATATGCCTCATTATAGAGGACATAATCAACCCTTATTCAAAATAAAAGGAATCAACGTTCAAGGATAATTGTGTGAAATCTTAGCTTTATTTCGATACCATCTGCGCGTGGTAACTAGCACAGGTAGAGGCGTGCGCTTATTAGGTTTCTACTCAAGGGACATTAAATTGTCTGTTAATTTTCGTCGCGTTATTGCCTGGTGTAGACTGCCTCACGTGCCCTGGAGGCTGTAGATGTTACTTAGCTGAAAGGCGCCTGCACTCCATCCATCAAGCTGACATTCACGACAGTGTTAGTAAGGAGAAAATGAACTAATATCAATTAGGATGACACGATGAGAGGGATTTGAAAACAGAAGTACCATTCTTATATCATGTCTGTAAATTCCGACATCTTTCCAGAGATGGCGATTATTCAGACATACACATGGCTGTTCGTGAAACAATGATGGCGTTTAATTCCGCCCTAAGTGAACGTGTCATTTAGACGACGGAGAAAATAAAAACGCGTTTCTTTTTTCATCTGAAATTTTATATCTGAATGCTGACATTTGAACGAATAATACTAATTATAATTCGTCCAAGGCTTTCACTATGTGCTATTGACAAGTTTTGAGTAAAACGTTACTATGGAATAATACTGATAAACATACATGTAAGTGTGTATTTACTCATTGACTTCACCAATTATCATATTGTGAACCCCAGTAATTACACTTCACCATACAGCAGAAATATCAAATTGAAAGGTCGATCAACGTTTCCCTTCTTAAAGTCAAACCATGCATAAATCATAAGACAATCAACAGAAGATAAAAGTCGGCGTTGTGACTGACACGACCACGTTTGAATCACCACGATTAAGTTTTTAAGTAAATAATACGTACTCAAGAAAGAGTCAAATGTTGTTTAGTTGTTGGTTTTACTTAAAGGGGTACGATACAAGGGGAAAATCACGAGTTTTAAGTCGGAGACATTTAACATCGTATTTTAACTATCATGAAAATGAGCATCGGTAGCTATAATTCACATTGTCAGTCGTCGTTCGATTAAAGAAACATTTTTCGACTGGTAATAACGTTTATCGTTTCGCCCTTAACATTAATACGGATAATCACCGATGAAATTTGACCCTTTCAGCAAACCAATGTCTGAATCAATGAATACATACACAATGACCTCAATATTAAACTTGTAATGTCTGTAACAGTCTTTGGACTCAGATAAACAACATGTGTATTTTAACGTTCGGAGTATATAGTCTCCAGATTTTTTCCACCGGGTCGGCAAGTAAGCAACAATGACCCGTCAATAAACAGCTCTTATTACAGTGCACCGAGTGGACGTCGAATGCGCTATATTGCAACTTTTCAATTGTCAAATTGATTTTCTTATATATACAGACGTATTCACGGTGGTATTGGAAGGTGGGTCTGACATTAGCTCTGAGGCGTATAAGCGAGCTTTGTCCTTGTGTTGTTCTAGTGGGCTGCGTACCAAAGCAACAAAACGAGAAAGTTCAGCACAGATTATTAAGGTGCCATTACGACGCCAACTTCTGACATTGTTCCCGGCTTACGAGACGTTTAAAAGAAAAATACCCCTGCGAGGACATGGCACGGTTCCTCGGAAGAACAATTCCCTGTCGTATCGAATTCCAAAACGTCCACTTTATTACTACGATAAACAACAAGTTTAAGATCATAAAGCGCAGCGACTAGACAAAGCGTGAAAATGAGTCATCTGTGTACCAACTACAAGATCTGACCACTCATCGATAAAACCTTCCATTAATGTCCTTATTTACCTTGGTCCAATTAATGTGTCATTTTTATAGGAGCGGCGTCTTTCAACCCACGTCGTTTTTAATAAAGGGAAAATGTTGATGACGGGGTCGTTTTAATTTTTCAGATTTTTTGGGGAAAGAGAGGAGGGCTAATACATGTAGTAATTATTGTTTGAAACGATACCAGTTAGTCTGATGATAAGTAAGAAAATGTCACAGTCTGAGGCATATTTGTGGCATTTTTAACGCGTCTTTTATGCACTTTATTAACACATTTCCCAACTCCTTTAAAGACATATTCAACTTTCATCCTCGGTTCTTAATGATTACATTTATTTCCCGGCAGTGCGTCTCGTCCTCCTTAATAGCCTGCGTATAATGATCAACTACCGTGATACGCACGGTATTACTATCACGAAACCCTGGACTCGTGGGGAGACGGCAACCATCTGCGTCTCCGAAGTTTACGTTCACCAAGTACAAGTTAAACTACAATAACCCACCTACAGGTTGTACACTGTACTGGACTTCAACAGGTGCATAATGCTCTGTATGCTTACTACGATGTTTAGCGAAAGTTCACAATAGGTGAACGACCGTAAACAATTTAAAGGTTTTAAGGGCCGTAACGGTCCAGTTAATTAAATCTTTAATTTCGAACTGATGTGTACGGTATTTAGTGGTAATATCACGCTTTGAGCAAGCCCACAGTTATCTTGAAATAAAGTTCTTGTCCTCTCGGTATATAACTGGACATCTACAACAAACTAAAGTAAACAAACTGCCAGTAAAATTTTTAAACACGGGAAAATGGTCAAAGCCCCAAAGGTAAAATTCTCACCTGACAAACACAATAGCCATTTTGCATCTCCGGTTGTAACTAGCAAACTTGGAAATACTCAAGAATATTGTAACATGGCAATTAAGGTATACTATTTTGTCCCCATTTTANCGGCATCGGCGACGACAGACGCAGGTGATGGCAATATGTACAGACACATCTGTGTCTGTACATAAAAATGAAGAATAAAAATATAAATAACTCTCATAAAAACAGATCTATATTTGTAATATTTTATTAAAGCTAATAAGCTATTCCATATATATATTCCATAAATACAGTAAATTGAATTAAAAGATTCTCTTTTATATTTTAATTATTAAAATATAATTTCATCATTCTGTCAGCTTCATTACCATAGTATGTAACCATTCTTAATTAAAATAATTCAATTATGTGTTACATGAACATGTATATCTTCTCTGCAGAATAAAACATAACAGCATTTCATAATAATTATTTTAATATTTAAAAATTATATCAGATATTTAAATTAACTTGCAAATGATGCAAATTGATAAAAATAGTACCCTGTATTATAAAGAAGCAAGCCTGTAGGCAGGTTATTTTGATGGGTGGTGGTAAAATAACTGCCCTTTTGGTTGGAAAAAACTCATCTCTGAATCAAAATCTGATCTATGTTCATTCTAATGTCTCAACTTGGGTCAGCATAGGAGTTGAAAGGTACACTTTAGAAAAAGCTCTTCCACCCTTGCAATTGCTGGCTACAGGTATGATAAAACTGAATTTTTGTATATATTGCAGGAATTGTACAATAAACATGCAAACAAAGCATTACAGAAAACCACTAGTACTGGCACTCCCACACACTAACCCTACCCTTATATGTATGTGTTTATGTAACCACCAAAGTCACAATATTGGCCCTAAAGGTGTCAGCCACTGCCTTGATCTTTTAAAAATTCAATAATATACTCTCAATTAGCAGTGCTTACTTTAGGAGTGATAAATACATGTATATACATGAACATGTACATGTATTCTAGGGAGAAATCTTCAATGCAACTGAAACATTTCTTATGCTGTGCTGTGCTGTGCCTTCCATTTATGGTCTCAGTAATTCATAACTTAGAAAACTTCCATGTCGCTTTCTGGAACCGAGAAATCTTAAATGGTTTCATGTCAATGGTGATTGGTTTTTCCAGTACCATATTAGCCAATAGTTTGCCAATGAGAGGTGAAAGCTTAAAACCATGACCTAGAAAAAAGAGGATTTGATGGAAATGTCTTGATGCTCAGGACTGCCAATTCTATGTATTCATATCATTCCCTTGTTTTAGGTACATGTATTAGTCTGTTGTTTTAACATTAAATTTAGGTAAGCATATGGAGAACTGCATTGACAGCAACCCTGAATGGCCTTCTTCTATGTAAAATCTGTATAAAATCTGTGTATATGATGGATTGGAATTTATAGATATGTACAGTCCCAGCTGCATCATGTCTTTATATAACAACAACGTAACAAAACAAACATTTCAAAAGATAAGTTACTACATGTAGTACGATTTCATACCAGAGATTTCATTCATATGTTTGGGTTTTATATTTAGCAGTGCATATCTTTGCTTATGGCTAAAAATTATATTTTATAAACCACCAAAGAAAAATCATGCCAGGATAAGCTCCCCTAAAAACAAAAGATACTGCAGTACTGCTGCTGTTGCAGGTTATTTATATCATACCTGAAAATCCTGCACCAATCACAATGTTGTCCCACATTGGATGTTTGTCAAGTATGAAATCATAATCAGGAGTCATCTAAATCAAGAGAAAAAAAGCAAAATGACCAATATTTAAAAGTATTTGAATAAGAAATTCAATTTAAATGTAAACAATTGAATACTACAGTGCAGTACATATACTACATTGAAATCCAGCTAAAAATGATGGAAACAACTATAAACCTGATGCACTCCTTTAATATTTTACATCATGCAGTATTTAATAAAAATACAAAGAAATTCTTCTGCTCACAGTTTCCAAAGTAAAACTTTTAAAAAAATATGCACTAACAAAACAAAAACAAAATAAATATCTGACAACTTACAGTGGTCATGCATCTTTGCACTATAGATGGCTCCTCCTCCAGGTAGGGGAAGTGCTCCCTGACATAAGCAGTGAGTTTCTTGGTAATCTTGGCCACTGCCTCTCCTACCTGGGCATCTCGGTAATCTGGGTGGATCGAATGCTCTATGGTGTGATGCATGTGAAGCTTTAAGGAATAGAGACAAACAAACTGTACAAAAAAGCAAATTGTTTGTTTTAAAACCAGCAATACAATGTTGTTCAAAAAAAGGATTTCAGCCAAGTAGTTAAGGCCTGCAATGTCTATGTCAACAACTATGGACATGTATGTACCTTGAGCATGTTTGGATATTCATAGCAAGGGACGGCATAAATAAAGTCATTCCAACTTTCAATGTTATAATCAGCAAATACTGGAAATCCTGTATCCAAACTGTAACTGCCAAACTTCTTCTCTTTCCAAAACCAAACTGTTGCAGCTTTAACCTAAAGGAAAAAATAAATATTGCAATAGCGTAACAGCCTCACCACTAATTTCAATAAGATTGTCACAGTTTTGCTTCAGACACAGGTAATAAGAATATATACAGACAATAACAGTGTCTGCACATAAAAACTGGTGAAATAATATTCCTAGTGAGATAAAAAAAACACACACACACATGGCAAATATTTTTCTACAAATACAAGGGATTAAAGAAAAATAATATGTAATTCATTCTTGGAAGGTGTAGATTAAATAAATGAAGTGCACTGGAAAAACTATTCAATGCACCTTCACTGACCTTACCCTTAGTGGTAAACTGAGCTCTAAAGATTTGGTAATGTCGGCTGTCCAGGGTCCTGTGGTCAGTACAACTTTCTTTGCTCTGTACTTGCCTCTGTTAGTGGTGAGAGTGACCTCAGTCCCTGGGCAGATGTTCTGAACTTTGACCCCTGTCTGAATTTTTCCTCCCAACTTGTCAATCAGCAACTGCATGTCAAATAAAATATAAGGTGAGTTTGCAAATTACATGGTTCATTCTTATTGATGTTATTTTTTTTTCATTCATAAAGAAACACTGAGTGGAAATAATTAGTTAATTATTGGTAATTAATTAAGCAATTTATAAAATGTGCTTTTTTAGTTAGAGTAACACTTATCGAAGAGTTTCACTTACACCTTAAAAAAGAAATTAAGGTAAAACGTGCCAATAATGACTTGAAAATATTATGCACATCCAGAACGCCGCCATCATGGTCAAACAAACCAATGTGATCCTTAAAGTTGATCGTTGGAAAGTGTTTTCTCAGGTCTTCACTGCTGTACGTGGTATTAGGATAGCCAAGTTCATCTAACTTATCTTTTACAGGTTTTACATTCCTTCCATCTCCTTTGTCCACCAGAAGCATGCCAGTTTTCCTTTAGATGACATTAAATATTGAAACTGTGAATTTACATTCTCAAACAGTAAATATGTTGCTTTGTCTACCCCCACTCCCACTATTTTACCTTAAAGCAGTTATGTTTCTCAACCAGAATTGTACTTTTGAGTCCATCATAATTTGATAATAGTGAAAGTGTACACTGGCAATGTGTATGCTAGCCCTCACTGGGTGATGGGAGAACAAATCAGGTTATTACATTTTATGACTGTTTAATATACAGCATAGACCAGATGTACAAGTTACTGGTACATACCAAAGAAATTTGTTTTGTGTCATATTTTCAAAATCTGTCCACATTTCATAAGCTTTTTTCATCAACTCAGAGTATCCTTCTTCTATGTAAGCTTTTCTGATACACCTTGATTCACCTGCAGAACTGCCCCAGGAGTGAGGGATATGATTGAACTGGAAATCAAATATCATCATTTTAGTAAATATGTTGTTCACGTTGCAATGTTTTATTTCTGCTATGTTACTCCTGAACATTAAAGGCAGACTCATAATTTTTCTGATGGCAATTAAACATTTTTCACATCCATATTGGAATCAGATTCAGATTGGGGTTCTTCCCCCTCCCCTCCCCCCTCCCGAACGATTACGCCACTTTCAAAAGAAATAATCAGTGGCTAGGAGATACTGGCCTTTTTAATCTTTCTACAAAACACTTTTATTAGACATTAAAGCGTTTCATAAAATCTTGCTATACAGTGTATGTCTCTAGTATATGCCTCAAAGTATTGATAACAAGAGCGCAATCAACAACTTGTGATATCAATGAACCTTGATCCTGGAAGAATTATTTT